CTGCCTCATGCTCTGCCTCATGCTCTGCCTGATGCTCTGCCCCACGCTCTGCCTCATGCTCTGCCTCATGCTCTGCCTCATGCTCTGCCTCATGCTCTGCCTCATGCTCTGCCTCACGCTCTGCCTCACGCTCTGCCTCATGCTCTGCCTCATGCTCTGCCTCATGCTCTGCCTCATGCTCTGCCTCATGCTCTGCCTCATGCTCTGCCTCATGCTCTGCCTCATGCTCTGCCTCATGCTCTGCCTCATGCTCTGCCTCATGCTCTGCCCCACGCTCTGCCTCATGCTCTGCCTCATGCTCTGCCTCATGCTCTGCCTCATGCTCTGCCTCATGCTCTGCCTCATGCTCTGCCCCACGCTCTGCCTCATGCTCTGCCTCATGCTCTGCCTCATGCTCTGCCTCATGCTCTGCCTCATGCTCTGCCTCATGCTCTGCCCCACGCTCTGCCTCATGCTCTTCCTCATGCTCTGCCTCATGCTCTGCCTCATGCTCTGCCTCATGCTCTGCCTCATGCTCTGCCCCACGCTCTGCCTCATGCTCTGCCTCAGGCTCTGCCCCACGCTCTGCCTCATGCTCTGCCTCATGCTCTGCCTCATGCTCTGCCTCATGCTCTGCCTCATGCTCTGCCTCATGCTCTGCCTCATGCTCTGCCCCACGCTCTGCCTCATGCTCTGCCTCATGCTCTGCCTCATGCTCTGCCTCATGCTCTGCCTCATGCTCTGCCCCACGCTCTGCCCCACGCTCTGCCTCATGCTCTGCCTCATGCTCTGCCTCATGCTCTGCCTCATGCTCTGCCTCACGCTCTGCCTCATGCTCTGCCTCATGCTCTGCCTCATGCTCTGCCTCATGCTCTGCCCCACGCTCTGCCTCATGCTCTGCCTCATGCTCTGCCTCATGCTCTGCCTCATGCTCTGCCTCATGCTCTGCCCCACGCTCTGCCTCATGCTCTGCCTCATGCTCTGCCTCATGCTCTGCCTCATGCTCTGCCTCATGCTCTGCCTCATGCTCTGCCCCACGCTCTGCCTCATGCTCTGCCTCATGCTCTGCCTCATGCTCTGCCTCATGCTCTGCCTCATGCTCTGCCTCATGCTCTGCCCCACGCTCTGCCTCATGCTCTGCCTCATGCTCTGCCTCATGCTCTGCCTCATGCTCTGCCTCATGCTCTGCCTCACGCTCTGCCTCATGCTCTGCCTCATGCTCTGCCTCATGCTCTGCCTCATGCTCTGCCTCATGCTCTGCCTCATGCTCTGCCCCACGCTCTGCCTCATGCTCTGCCTCATGCTCTGCCTCATGCTCTGCCTCATGCTCTGCCTCATGCTCTGCCCCACGCTCTGCCTCATGCTCTGCCTCATGCTCTGCCTCATGCTCTGCCTCATGCTCTGCCTCATGCTCTGCCCCACGCTCTGCCTCATGCTCTGCCTCATGCTCTGCCTCATGCTCTGCCCCACGCTCTGCCTCATGCTCTGCCTCATGCTCTGCCTCATGCTCTGCCTCATGCTCTGCCTCATGCTCTGCCTCATGCTCTGCCCCACGCTCTGCCTCATGCTCTGCCTCATGCTCTGCCTCATGCTCTGCCTCATGCTCTGCCTCATGCTCTGCCTCACGCTCTGCCTCATGCTCTGCCTCATGCTCTGCCTCATGCTCTGCCTCATGCTCTGCCTCATGCTCTGCCTCATGCTCTGCCCCACGGTCTGCCTCATGCTCTGCCTCATGCTCTGCCTCATGCTCTGCCTCATGCTCTGCCCCACGCTCTGCCTCATGCTCTGCCTCATGCTCTGCCTCATGCTCTGCCTCACGCTCTGCCTCATGCTCTGCCTCATGCTCTGCCTCATGCTCTGCCTCATGCTCTGCCTCATGCTCTGCCTCATGCTCTGCCTCATGCTCTGCCTCATGCTCTGCCTCATGCTCTGCCCCACGCTCTGCCTCATGCTCTTCCTCATGCTCTGCCTCATGCTCTGCCTCATGCTCTGCCCCACGCTCTGCCTCATGCTCTGCCTCATGCTCTGCCTCATGCTCTGCCTCATGCTCTGCCTCATGCTCTGCCTCATGCTCTGCCCCACGCTCTGCCTCATGCTCTGCCTCATGCTCTGCCTCATGCTCTGCCTCATGCTCTGCCCCACGCTCTGCCCCACGCTCTGCCTCATGCTCTGCCTCATGCTCTGCCTCATGCTCTGCCTCATGCTCTGCTTCACGCTCTGCCTCATGCTCTGCCTCATGCTCTGCCTCATGCTCTTCCTCATGCTCTGCCCCACGCTCTGCCTCATGCTCTGCCTCATGCTCTGCCTCATGCTCTGCCCCACGCTCTGCCTCATGCTCTGCCTCATGCTCTGCCTCATGCTCTGCCTCATGCTCTGCCTCATGCTCTGCCTCATGCTCTGCCCCACGCTCTGCCTCATGCTCTGCCTCATGCTCTGCCTCATGCTCTGCCTCACGCTCTGCCTCATGCTCTGCCTCATGCTCTGCCGCATGCTCTGCCTCATGCTCTGCCTCATGCTCTGCCTCATGCTCTGCCTCATGCTCTGCCTCATGCTCTGCCCCACGCTCTGCCTCATGCTCTTCCTCATGCTCTGCCTCATGCTCTGCCTCATGCTCTGCCCCACGCTCTGCCTCATGCTCTGCCTCATGCTCTGCCTCATGCTCTGCCTCATGCTCTGCCTCATGCTCTGCCTCATGCTCTGCCCCACGCTCTGCCTCATGCTCTGCCTCATGCTCTGCCTCATGCTCTGCCTCATGCTCTGCCTCATGCTCTGCCTCATGCTCTGCCTCATGCTCTGCCTCATGCTCTGCCCCACGCTCTGCCTCATGCTCTGCCTCATGCTCTGCCTCATGCTCTGCCCCACGCTCTGCCTCATGCTCTGCCTCATGCTCTGCCTCATGCTCTGCCTCATGCTCTGCCTCATGCACTGCCTCATGCTCTGCCTCATGCTCTGCCTCATGCTCTGCCTCATGCTCTGCCTCATGCTCTGCCTCATGCTCTCCCTCATGCTCTGCCTCATGCTCTGCCCCACGCTCTGCCTCATGCTCTGCCTCATGCTCTGCCCCACGCTCTGCCTCATGCTCTGCCTCATGCTCTGCCTCATGCTCTGCCTCATGCTCTGCCCCACGCTCTGCCCCACGCTCTGCCTCATGCTCTGCCTCATGCTCTGCCTCATGCTCTGCCTCATGCTCTGCTTCACGCTCTGCCTCATGCTCTGCCTCATGCTCTGCCTCATGCTCTGCCTCATGCTCTGCCCCACGCTCTGCCTCATGCTCTGCCTCATGCTCTGCCTCATGCTCTGCCTCATGCTCTGCCTCATGCTCTGCCCCACGCTCTGCCTCATGCTCTGCCTCATGCTCTGCCTCATGCTCTGCCTCATGCTCTGCCTCATGCTCTGCCTCATGCTCTGCCCCACGCTCTGCCTCATGCTCTGCCTCATGCTCTGCCTCATGCTCTGCCTCATGCTCTGCCTCATGCTCTGCCTCATGCTCTGCCCCCACGCTCTGCCTCATGCTCTGCCTCATGCTCTGCCTCATGCTCTGCCTCATGCTCTGCCTCATGCTCTGCCTCACGCTCTGCCTCATGCTCTGCCTCATGCTCTGCCTCATGCTCTGCCTCATGCTCTGCTTCACGCTCTGCCTCATGCTCTGCCACATGCTCTGCCTCATGCTCTGCCTCATGCTCTGCCCCACGCTCTGCCTCATGCTCTGCCTCATGCTCTGCCTCATGCTCTGCCCCACGCTCTGCCTCATGCTCTGCCTCATGCTCTGCCTCATGCTCTGCCTCATGCTCTGCCTCATGCTCTGCCTCATGCTCTGCCCCACGCTCTGCCTCATGCTCTGCCTCATGCTCTGCCTCATGCTCTGCCTCACGCTCTGCCTCATGCTCTGCCTCATGCTCTGCCGCATGCTCTGCCTCATGCTCTGCCTCATGCTCTGCCTCATGCTCTGCCTCATGCTCTGCCTCATGCTCTGCCTCATGCTCTGCCCCACGCTCTGCCTCATGCTCTTCCTCATGCTCTGCCTCATGCTCTGCCTCATGCTCTGCCCCACGCTCTGCCTCATGCTCTGCCTCATGCTCTGCCTCATGCTCTGCCTCATGCTCTGCCTCATGCTCTGCCCCACGCTCTGCCTCATGCTCTGCCTCATGCTCTGCCTCATGCTCTGCCTCATGCTCTGCCTCATGCTCTGCCTCATGCTCTGCCTCATGCTCTGCCTCATGCTCTGCCCCACGCTCTGCCTCATGCTCTGCCTCATGCTCTGCCTCATGCTCTGCCCCACGCTCTGCCTCATGCTCTGCCTCATGCTCTGCCTCATGCTCTGCCTCATGCTCTGCCTCATGCACTGCCTCATGCTCTGCCTCATGCTCTGCCTCATGCTCTGCCTCATGCTCTGCCTCATGCTCTGCCTCATGCTCTCCCTCATGCTCTGCCTCATGCTCTGCCCCACGCTCTGCCTCATGCTCTGCCTCATGCTCTGCCCCACGCTCTGCCTCATGCTCTGCCTCATGCTCTGCCTCATGCTCTGCCTCATGCTCTGCCCCACGCTCTGCCCCACGCTCTGCCTCATGCTCTGCCTCATGCTCTGCCTCATGCTCTGCCTCATGCTCTGCCTCATGCTCTGCCTCACGCTCTGCCTCATGCTCTGCCTCATGCTCTGCCTCATGCTCTGCCTCATGCTCTGCCTCATGCTCTGCCTCATGCTCTGCCTCATGCTCTGCCTCATGCTCTGCCTCATGCTCTGCCTCATGCTCTGCCTCATGCTCTGCCTCATGCTCTGCCCCACGCTCTGCCTCATGCTCTGCCTCATGCTCTACCTCACGCTCTGCCTCATGCTCTGCCTCATGCTCTGCCTCATGCTCTGCCCCACGCTCTGCCTCATGCTCTGCCTCATGCTCTGCCCCACGCTCTGCCTCATGCTCTGCCTCATGCTCTGCCTCATGCTCTGCCTCATGCTCTGCCTCATGCTCTGCCTCATGCTCTGCCCCACGCTCTGCCTCATGATCTGCCTCATGCTCTGCCTCATGCTCTGCCTCATGCTCTGCCTCATGCTCTGCCTCATGCTCTGCCCCACGCTCTGCCTCATGCTCTGCCTCATGCTCTGCCTCGTGCTCTGCCCCACGCTCTGCCTCATGCTCTGCCTCATGCTCTGCCTCATGCTCTGCCTCATGCTCTGCCTCATGCTCTGCCTCATGGTCTGCCTCATGCTCTGCCTCATGCTCTGCCTCATGCTCTGCCCCACGCTCTGCCTCATGCTCTGCCTCATGCTCTGCCTAATGCTCTGCCTCATGCTCTGCCTCATGCTCTGCCCCACGCTCTGCCTCATGCTCTGCCTCATGCTCTGCCTCATGCTCTGCCCCACGCTCTGCCTCATGCTCTGCCTCATGCTCTGCCTCATGCTCTGCCTCATGCTCTGCCTCATGCACTGCCTCATGCTCTGCCTCATGCTCTGCCTCATGCTCTGCCTCATGCTCTGCCTCATGCTCTGCCTCATGCTCTCCCTCATGCTCTGCCTCATGCTCTGCCCCACGCTCTGCCTCATGCTCTGCCTCATGCTCTGCCTCATGCTCTGCCTCATGCTCTGCCTCATGCTCTGCCTCATGCTCTGCCTCATGCTCTGCCTCATGCTCTGCCTCATGCTCTGCCCCACGCTCTGCCTCATGCTCTGCCTCATTCTCTGCCTCATGCTCTGCCTCATGCTCTGCCTCATGCTCTGCCTCATGCTCTGCCTCATGCTCTGCCTCATGCTCTGCCTCATGCTCTGCCTCATGCTCTGCCTCATGCTCTGCCTCATGCTCTGCCTCATGCTCTGCCTCATGCTCTGCCTCATGCTCTGCCTCATGCTCTTCCTCATGCTCTGCCTCATGCTCTGCCTCATGCTCTGCCTCATGCTCTGCCTCATGCTCTGCCTCATGCTCTGCCTCATGCTCTGCCTCATGCTCTGCCTCATGCTCTGCCTCATGCTCTGCCTCATGCTCTGCCACGCTCTGCCTCATGCTCTGCCTCATGCTCTGCCTCATGCTCTGCCTCATGCTCTGCCTCATGCTCTGCCTCATGCTCTGCCTCATGCTCTGCCTCATGCTCTGCCTCATGCTCTGCCTCATGCTCTTCCTCATGCTCTGCCTCATGCTCTGCCTCATGCTCTGCCTCATGCTCTGCCTCATGCTCTGCCTCATGCTCTGCCTCATGCTCTGCCTCATGCTCTGCCTCATGCTCTGCCTCATGCTCTGCCTCATGCTCTGCCTCATGCTCTGCCTCATGCTCTGCCTCATGCTCTGCCTCATGCTCTGCCCCACGCTCTGCCTCATGCTCTGCCTCATGCTCTGCCTCATGCTCTGCCTCATGCTCTGCCTCATGCTCTGCCTCATGCTCTGCCCCACGCTCTGCCTCATGCTCTGCCTCATGCTCTGCCTCATGCTCTGCCTCATGCTCTGCCTCATGCTCTGCCCCACGCTCTGCCTCATGCTCTTCCTCATGCTCTGCCTCATGCTCTGCCTCATGCTCTGCCTCATGCTCTGCCTCATGCTCTGCCTCATGCTCTGCCTCATGCTCTGCCTCATGCTCTTCCTCATGCTCTGCCTCATGCTCTGCCTCATGCTCTGCCTCATGCTCTGCCTCATGCTCTGCCTCATGCTCTGCCTCATGCTCTGCCTCATGCTCTGCCTCATGCTCTGCCTCATGCTCTGCCTCATGCTCTGCCTCATGCTCTGCCTCATGCTCTGCCTCATGCTCTGCCTCATGCTCTGCCTCATGCTCTGCCTCATGCTCTGCCTCATGCTCTGCCTCATGCTCTGCCTCATGCTCTGTCTCATGCTCTGCCCCACGCTCTGCCTCCTGCTCTGCCTCCTGGTGGGAGTAGGCCTCATGCCCTGCCTTATTATTCTCTACCTCGCCCTCTGCCTCACGCCCTGCCTCATGCTCGTACCAGCATCCATCCTGACTTTTCTTTCATATCAATGCCATGTTTTGTATATTGTTTCTGATTCCCATTCCCTATATCCCAACCATTCCCTACCCGTGCCCCACCCTATGTCCCAACCATTCCCTACCCGTGCCCCACCCTATGTCCCAACCATTCCCTACCCGTGCCCCACCCTTGATAACCCAGGAAACCCTGTCCCTCTCTCGCCCCTATCGCCTTGTTTCCATGGCTGGGATGGTGCTGCTGCTCGCCCTCCCCATCTCCGGTATGCTGCTGCTCCCGCCCCCTCTCGCCTCTTCCTGTACATCCTTCCCCATTCCTTGTTACGATGCTCTTTGAATTTCCTCCATCCCCGACGGACCATTTTCCTCTCAAAAGTTTCGTTGCCATGTCCGCATTCTCTAATCCAACCATTCCTGAACGCGGCATGGCCCATGGACCAATGCTTGGAGGGGTGGAGAGTGGAGTTAACCAAGGTGGAAATCGCATAACTGTTTCTTGGAAAAAGGTGGAGAAGCGACCACAGAAGGTCTGAACATGCAACAGCGTTCAAACTGTTAAAACTATCAACTGGGTTTATTGGAGGGTTAGGAAGTGGCCCGGATCGGAGAAAGTAACCTCTTATATGTTAGCTGGAAGCTCTGTTGTCTTTCCAGTAGTCATGGCAGCATGGCCCTTCCTTCCATCTCGCCCTCGCCCTCGCCCTCACCCTCTCCCTCGCCCTCACCCTCTCCCTCTCCCTCTCCCTCGCCCTCGCCCTCTCCCATTCATCACCATGCCCTCCATCCGAATCTCCATTACTTTCCATCTCCTCTCACCCGTTTCTCTTTCCTTCCCTTCCTGAATCTCCTCTCCGAATGCTCACTCCGTCTCCACCCGCCCGTTCCCCCTCCCACTCTTCATCACCCTCGCCCTGGCATCTTCTCTAGTGGGCCAAAGCAGGAAGCCTATTGTTGAGGCATCTCAAAAATAGCTTCACTCCATATCCACCCGCCTTTCCCCCCTCCCACTCTCTCATCACCCCCGCCCTGCCTGACATCTCCTCCAGTGGGTCAAATCAAGAAGCCCCATGGCCTCCAAGCTACCTGTCCATTCACCACATGAGTACCTCGACCACCTTTCCTCCGCCACCTCCTCCTTTACCTTCAAGCCCTCGGCCACACGCACGGATCACTCCTCGCTCCCTGATGGCGATGATACTACCACTGGAGGCGAGTCGTACCCTCTTCTCACTGTCCCTGACAGCAGCAGCAATGGAAGTAGGCTCGGCAACAGCAGCGGCGGCAGCGGCAGGTTCGGCAACAACAGCAGCAGCAGCGGAGGCGGTGGAGGGGGTGTGATGAGCAGAAAAGGCAGCTGCGAGTCTTTCAGTGACACGGTAGGGAGCCCGCTTAAGGCCACCTCCTTTACAAGCACACCCGCCTCTCACAGCAGTGTGGGGCGGGCGAGCGAGTGGGAGGGCAGTCCGAGGGAGCGTGGGGCAGCAGCACTGATGCAGGGCGGCACTGGCAGCAGCACTGGCGGCAGCAGCAGTGCGGCAGGCAGTGGTGTGGGAGGCGATGTGGAGGGGAGTAGCGGTGGTGTGGATGGGTGCGGTGGGGAGGGCGGGAGGGAGGGGAAGAGCCTGGAGGGGGATGGGAGGAGCAGCCATGCGTGGGGGGTGGAGGCGGGGAGGGGGCAGCGAGGCAGTGCTGTGCGCGTGGGTATGGATCACACGCTGCTGCAGGCTGCTGTCACTCCTGAGTACTGGTGAGAGGGGGGAGGCTCGAGGAGAGGAGTATGGGAGGGGAGACAGACAGGAGTGAAGCCTGGAGTGGGGGCTACAGGTGGGCATGGATGGAGCACTCGCTGCTGCAAGGCGACGGTAGCTGATGGGATGAGCTGGAGCCTAGAGTTGGACTTCGGGTGCACTTTGAGTGTGTCGGAGTTGGAGTGTATACAACAGCAAAGTGTTCCCTCCCGTTTCCCCCCATTGCCTCTTCCCTCGTTCTGCCCCTCTATGCTTTCCTTGTCGTTTCTTCCTTTCTTCTTCCCCCCTCAACTCAACCCTCCTTTTCCTCTCAAAACCCCCCTCCTGCCACTCCCGTTCCCCTTCCCACAACCTGCTGTTGTTTGCCAAACTATGTGGTAGGTAAAGCAGCAACCACTCCCTACCCACTTCGTCTCCTTTTCCTCCATTTTCTTCCATCTCAACCATCCTCCCCCTCTCCCCCCACCCTTCTCTTCTCCCCCCAGGCTCTTGTTCTTCGCCATGGGCTGTGGCACAGGGTCAGGGCTCACAGCCATCAATAACCTGGCGCAGGTGAGGGGGGGATGACGGGGGGATGGAAGGGGGGTGCAGGTGGGCGGTAAGGGAATGAGGGGCGTGGAGTGTCCGTCTGTCACCTCTAGCGGGACATTGGAATGGCAAGGGCGCGACAATGAAGGGCACCTTGCTGTGGAAAGAAACCAAGTGCATGTGCGAATGCCCTAGAGAAGCGACCACACCGTGTAGGCAGGTCGACCCTGCGTTGCACGTTCTCAGCCCAGCAGAATGTATTCAGAGGTGACTTTTGAGTCGACCCCTGCGTTGCACCGCGGATATTCTCAGCCCAGCAGGATGTATAAAAAGACCCTTTACTCCCGAACGAGTGCCCAGCTTATGCCTCCTCCTTCTGCCACTGTCTGTCCATCTATCCTCGCCGTGCCTCATCCAGCCACCTTCCTTTTCGAGGCACTTATCAGCTGCCCCTCCTGCCGCCGCCTTCCCACCCCTTCACTGCCTGCCCACTCCAATCTCCAGCGCCATTCCTCGTTCGTTCATGCAGCACCAGTCGATTTAGGAGGCGATTTTGTAGGCGATGTTTTAGGCGATTCTTGAGGCGTCTCGCCACCCCTTCACCGCCTGCCGACTCCAATCTACAGCGCCAGTCCTCGTTCGTGCAGCACTAGTCGGCCTTCCTCCCTGCTCCTTTCCGCTGCCAACCAACAGACCTCCTCGCCGCAGGTCCAGGCGCCTTGCGTGGTCTCACCAGCGCTCGAGGTGATTCACCACATGCACTGCATGCAACCCCCTCATTCCTTCTCCCCTATCTCCGCCTCCCTGCTTCCACCTGTCCTCCCCTTCTCCCCCTCACCTCTTCCGCCCCTTTCCCCCTTCCGCCCGTTCCCCCCATTCTCCCCCTTCCCTCTTCCGCCCCTTCCCCCTTTCTCCCCCTTCAGGTGGCGGAGTCTCTGGGTTCCGCGAGTGTGGGTGCGCTGGTTGCTCTCGTCAGCATCTGGAACTTTCTAGGACGGATGGCCGCCGTGTAGGTTGTCTGCCCAACAGGCTCATTTGCCGTGGGTCCCATATCTTCCATGTCATGTGTCACGTTGTGATTCCTTGGGCCTCGCATTCTCTTTCATACCGCCTGAATGCCTTTTGAGTCGACTCAAAAGTCACCTCAAAAGTCACGAGAGTCGACTCAAAGTCACCTCAAAAGTCACCTGAGCCGACACAAAAGTCATCCTGCCTGAATGCCTGCCAGCAATCCCTGAAACGCCGCACTACACCATTTCCTTCCATTGCCGTTCCCCAGGACCTCCGATTCTACCTTTTTTCAACCTTCTTTTCTGTGCCAACGTTGATTTATCAGCCTTTTCCCATAAATCTTGTGATTTTCTAGTGGATTTCTAGTGAGAAATGGCACTTTTGGCTAATTTGCAGCGTAATTTTTCATGCCAACTCTCTGAATATTCATCCTATCCCTAAACCATTCTAGGGCCCTCAACTCACCTTCGCATCTCCCCTTTCTTCCTTCCCTCTCCACCGACTCATGCGCCCTACCCACTCTCCCCCCCCCACCCAGGTACGTGTCAGAGCAGTGTTTAAAGCGCTGCAGCACGCCGAGCCCTCTTTGCATGCTGCTCTTGACACTATGCCCTTCTTCCGGTAGCCCTACCCTTCCCCCTCCCCCCTTCCCCCTCCCCCCCTTCCCCCTCCCCCCTTCCCCCTCCCCCCTTCCCCATCCCCCTTTCCTCCTCCCCTCTTCCCCCTCCCCCTTTCCCCCTCCCCCTTTCCCCCTCCCCTCCCCCCCCTCCCGTCCCCCCCCCAGCTACGTGTCGGAGCAGTGTTTGAAGCGCTGGAGCACGCCGCGCCCGCTCTGCATGCTGCTCGTGCAGGCCGCCATGGGGTGTGCTCACCTGCTCTTCAGCATAGGCGGTGAGTTGCCTTGCCTGCTATGAAGTAACCATTGCCATGTATCACTCCACTAGCCCACCCTCTGCTCCTCTACGCCGCACCGCAGCAGCGCTGGTGAGAGTGCATTCATGATTCACTGTTGGCCCTCTACCCCCCAACCTGCGTCAACTGTTAAAGTGAAGCCACTTGGAGCCATGGATGGCGATAGGAAAAGCTGTACGAGTCAAGGTGAGAGTACAACGCAGTAGATCTGGTTGGGGAAACCCAAACTGAACCTATGGCGTGTTCAGTTTGGGAAGAAAACCCCAGATGAACCTAAACCAAACCTGAAATGAAACTAAGTATACAGCTGGCCGAAGAAGGGTATAAGGCCAGTACTGAGTATTGAGCAGGAGCTAGCCTTATATCTTACCCCGCAGCAGCGCTTGTGGGGGCGGCACATGGGGCGCACGGGACGCTGATGGTTACCAGGTTACCCCACTGCATCAGTGCACCACTGTCATGACCATCACCCCTGTGCCTCCGAACCTGCGCTTTTCCCCTCCCTGGCAGACCCACTGTTCCTCTACCCGGCAGCAGCGCTGGTGGGGGCGGCACATGGGGCGCACTGGACGCTCATGGTGACCACTGCGTCTGAGCTCTTTGGGCTCAAACACTTTGGTGCACTCTACAATACGCTCAGGTGAATATGCACTCTCTCAGGTGAATATGCACTCTCAGGTGAATATGCACTCTCGGGTGAATATGCACTCTCAGGTGAATATGCACTCTCAGGTGAATATGCACTCTCAGGTGAATATGCACTCTCAGGTGAATATGCACTCTGTCAGGTGAATCCCACACACTCGGGTGAAGACTCCCTTACAGGCGAACATGCAGCCTCGTTGAAACCCACTCTTTGTCTCTGTGATCGTATGTTCATTGCCCATCTAGTCTTTCTCCATCCCTCTGTCAGTGATAAATCGCCACGGTGCCATTCCAGTTTGTTTGCATGTGTGTGTCCAATCCTCAACCTCCTTCCCCTCCTTCCCTTCCCTACCCTACTTCCCCCCTTTCCCCACCTCTCCCCCATTTCCCCCCTGCCCCTCTTTCCCTGCTTCCCATCCCCTTCCTCCCTTCCTTCCTCTTCCCCCCTACCAGCATATCATCCACAGTAGGCTCCTACTGCCTCTCTGTCAAGCTCGCCGGCTACATCTACGACCGTCAATCCGCGATCCAACGGTCAGCCTTCCTCCACCTGCAAGGCCTCTCCTCCGCCTCCCCCTCCCTCTCTCCACCCTCAATCGCAGCCATTGCAAACTGGGGCACAGAGGCAGCAGCAGCAGCGGGGCAAGGAGGGGTAGCGGAGGCACAGCTAGTGCTACCAGAGGCATCAGAGCTGCCCCACCGGTGCATGGGCCCAGACTGCTTCCGCCTCACCTTCCTCGTGATGGCCCTCGTGTGCGTCGCTGGCATATGCGCTCTTCTGAACCTCGTGGCACGTACAAGACGGCTGTACCAGGTGAGGGGTGGGGGGTGAGGGGTGAGGCTTGATGGGTGGGGGTTGAGGGGTGAGGGGTGGGGGTTGGGGGTGAGGCGATCATAGGCTGAAGGGGCCAGACTAATTCCGCCTCACCTTCCTCGTGATGGCCCTCGTGTGCGTCGCTGGCATATGCGCTCTTCTGAACCTCGTGGCACGCACAAGACGGCTGTACCAGGTGAGGGGTGGGGGGTGAGGGGTGAGGCTTGATGGGTGGGGGTTGAGGGGTGAGGGGTGGGGGTTGGGGGTGAGGCGATCATAGGCTGAAGGGGCCAGACTAATTCCGCCTCATCTTCCTCGTCATGGCCCTCATGTGCGTTGCTGGAATATGCGCTCTTCTCAACCTTTGTCACGCGCACAAGACAGCTGTCTGTACCAGGTGAGGGGTGCAGGGTGACCAGAGGGCTATCAGGGGTTCCTGTGCTTCCGCCTCGCCCCACCTTCCCTCACCATCCTCGTCATGGCCCCCTTGTGCCTTGCTGGCGTGTGTGCCCTACTCAACCTCCTGTGATCCGCACATGGCGACTGGTCCAGGCGAGGGGTGGTGGGTAGTGAGGGTGGCTATGAGTCAACTCAAAAGCCTTTAGTCAGGGTCGACGTGGTAGTGCGAATTGGCTACACCTGTATGAATCTTGAGAAAATTGGAAGCGATACATTCGGGTCGACTCAAAAGCCTCCGGCGAGGCGGGAGTGGGGAGCAATGAGAGAGTGACTAAGTACGCCCTACCTCTGCCTTTGTACCACCTCCCAACCACCTTCCTCTTCCTGCAAATCCTAAGACAAATGAGGGGAGTCACTGAGGTATCGCCCTTGTTGCCTGCAAGTCCAAGGCATGTGGTGCACTGCTCTTAGGCCTGGGTGCATGGGTTTGAAGAGGAGTGGGGTGAGCGTGGCACACATGGGATTTCAGTGCCTTGCCCTTGTCATGCATGCACTCATGTGTGCAGCCTGCACATGCAATCACGTTTGTGCACATCAACACTTGCAGATGCATGGCCATGCATGCATGCAGGCAGGACTCTATATCCCTCCCCAACTGCTCTCTCCTCTGTGTGTGCCTTGCCCCCCTCTGTTCCGTCCACGTTCAGGAGTTCCATAAAGTGCAGAGGAGCTGAGCATTGGTGTAGCATGGGTGCCATGGCAGTGCATTGTTACTGTATTTCTACATATCTTACATGTACCATACATCCAAATGTATATCCATGTAATTATAACATCGTACTACCATTTCTCAACGTTGAACCCTATGCTGGAAAGGCTTCAGTGGAACGGGTGAGATATCATAGTAGGAGAATCGGTCAGGTCGTTGAAAGTTAACGATTGAAAGATGACTTTCAGCATCAGAAAATAAGCACGCACCAATGAACATAAGAAATCAATAATAAGTTCATGGTGTGTATTGTATCTCTTTTTCCTTACACACCTACTGGTAATCTTACCCATCTACAGTTGCATTGCTCCACGTGCAAGCGCTAACCGCTCTGTATGCTCCAACAGCACCTGCGTAACACACACTCGACGAAACAGAGTGAAACAAACCAGCGTAACTTGGAAAATGTCGCAGAAAAGAGCAGCCATTGGTTTTACTCCCATATACTCCCCAGTCAACAAAAAGATGATCCCCTTTGGCACGAAAATCTTACTTGTCTCATACGGTGCGCGATGGCCTTGCATCCCGTGACTGCGAGCTTCACCACCTCCTCAAACGTGTCCATCGGGAGCTTCGCGTCCATCTGAGGCAGCGCAGGGCATTGGTAGGAGGCAGAGACACTGGGAGGCATGGATTTTTGGAGCTTGAAGCAGCAAGTCACGGACGAGAGGAGTGTGCACAGCACAGCTTCACCGCATCCTCTGGGAGCTTGGGAGCTTGGCGTCCATCTGTGGGACATGTGGCAGATGCAGCAGCGCATGAGAGAAGATAGAAGCAAGGAGTTACGCACGCAAGCTTCACCACCTCCTCGAATGTGTCCGTGTGCTGCTGCTGGGGGCGTGCATATGAGGGCGTTTGGATGTTGTTTTTTGCGACCGTCGAGAGGTAATCTGCAGCGCACTGTAATATCCGTGACTGTATTGAATGTATGCAGACATGAGCGCACGCAACCCGACCTGACCTGTATGCAGCCATGAGCACAAGAAACCCCACCTGCAGCAGTGAGATCTTATCGGATGATGGCAAGTAGCCCACTGTGACGTCCAAGATTGCATTACCCATGATTGTATCATCCATGACTGTACTGGATGTGACTGTACAGGATGTGACTGTACTGGATGTGACTGTATGCATGGAGCCATGAGCACAACCCACCCCACCTGCAGCAGTGAGATCTTATCGGATGACGGCAAGTACCCCACTGTGACGTCCGGACCACCACCACTGTCCTCCACGTAGTTCAGGTCTGCACGGTGGGCAGAGAGAGGCGAGGGAACGGTACGGGGCGAATTTTGAGTCAAGTGAAATATCGCTGTCCTCCACGTAATTCAGATATGCCAGGTGGACAGAGAGAGTTGAGGATACGGTATGGGGCCGGCGAGTGAGAGGTGAGGGTATGGTATGATGTTCGGATGACAAGGAAGCAGCAGAGGAGGGATGTGGGGCGACGCAAAATCCGGCTGACATGCTGCAGCGGTGAAATGACTCTTGAGGCGCCTCACAAATCGTGTCATCTCCGGCAGAGGTGGCAGCGGTGGCAGAGGTGGCAGAGGTGGCAGAGGTGGTGGCAAGGGTGGCCGAGGTGGCGGAGTGGGCAGAGGCGACAACCAGGGGGCTGATAGCAGCCACAGGCCACCCGCCCCCTCTAGCCACAGGTCCATAGGTGGCAGCCCAGCTGGCAGCCCAGCTGGCAGCCCAGCTGGCAGCCCACCTGGCAGCTCCACTCACCTAGTAATGGAGTGGCGTTGAGGTAACCAGAGGCGCAGCTGGTAACCAGGTCGCGCATGGGGATGCCCGCATGGCAGAGCGCAAGTGTCGCTGCATTAATGCACGCGGAGCGAGTGCCTGGGGGGAGTGGAAGGGGAGGGAGGGAAGAGTGTGCGTGAGTATGTGACGCGGCGGGGTGAGTGGAGTTTGATGGGGATGGATGGGGAGGGGTGTGTGGCACAAGGGTTGGATGGGGATTCATGAGAGATGATGGAAATGGGTGGGAAGGAAGGGGAGAAAAGGGGCATGCTGGTGGGCCACGGCGGAAACACTTGCCCGGGCTACACTTGTGAACAGCGTCGTCAACTTGTGAGGATGACATCACATTCCATGAGGGTAGTTCAAATCAAACGGAATGAGACTGTCTGTACCACAAGCACCGCACCATGCCTTACCACCCTCCCACCACGCCTTACCGCCCTCCCACCATGCCTTACTGCCCTCCCACCATGCCTTACCGCCATCGGCTTGCAAGACTTGAACAAAGATGTCGATCTGAGGCACAGCGCACGCAGTAAGGGATGGGGTGTGAATGGAGTGGAATGTGATGAAGTGATGGCACGCTAGATGTCGATCTGGAGTGTGCAGCAAGAGACATGGAATAGAATGGAAGGAGACGCGGTGATGGTAAGTCACGTGTGCGATGCAGGGAAGGAGAGAGGAGATGACGGCATGAGCCCCCACTCTGTGTGCGAGACCAGAACCCCTACGGCATACAGCCATGCTTCCCCTATGTGTGAGGCAGCAGGTCATGTCACATGTGTGGCAGGGACATCAGAGCTTCACCGCACATCCACCGTGCATCACCACACGTCACCGCTTATCACTCACCTGTGTGCGCGGTAGGAGCTCGAGCATGATGGCTGCTTCCAGTGTTTGGCGGATGACTAGCGAGATCTCCACTGACCTCCTGATACAGTCACATGGGCGCACAGTCACATGCACTCACAGTCACACCCAGTCAGAGTCATACCGAGTCACAGCCACACCCACTCACAGTCACGCAAACACTCATGTACAGAGAACCCAAAACACACACACACACACACACATACACACACATAGTACATACATGCACACGCAGAGAGACAAATGAGTTGCACACAGGGGGACCTTGTCTTGTGAGGTAATGAGCTGCTCCATAGAGCCACATGCCCATATATCCACATGCACCTCATGCCATAGCCACTCACACCCATGCCATACCCATTCATACCCCATGCCCAACGGTCCATTTTCCCTCACTGCCACTCCTCCGTGCTGAATGTCGCCATGCCATACTCACACCGCATGCGACCCCACACCACATCTACGCATGCCATGCCACACCAGACACCCACCAGTCCATCTTCCCCCGTCGCCGTCTCTCCCCCATGCTGAAGGCCGCGATGCCATACTCACAGCGCATGCCAGACCGACACAACCCATGCCACACCCCGTGCCGTACTCACACCTCATGCCATGCAACACCTGCACAGTGCACACCCCATGCCTACCGGTCCATCTTCCCCCGTCGCCGTCGCTCCCCTGTGCTGAATGAAGCCATGCCGTACTCACAGCGCACCACCGCCCTGTCAGGGAGGGCATCCGCCCGGTTGGTTACCTGGGAGGTATGGGACATAGGGGGCGGAGGGGGATGAAGGTGGAACAAGACAAGGCGAGGGGCAGCACTCACACACAGCGCACCACCGCCCTGTCTGGAAGGGCGTCCGCTCGGCTGGGAGGTATGAGAATGCGAGATAAGGTGGAAAGGGGACGGGGCCAGGAGGTGATGATTAAGGCGGGGCACAAGCAATAATGACTCCTGCGCATTGATCCACCTGTAGTACTCGCACTTCCTGTGTGGTTTGATCCAACACATACAGCTTTCATTCTATCATGTGCACACCCCCAACAAAATACTCCAAGGCCTTTCATTTCATTCCTTTTCTCAGCTTGAAATTCTATACTAACATTCACTCCTGATCATTACCATCTCATAGCGCACCCCTTCCTTCCACCTCTTCCTTCTAAACCGCTCACTTCCTTTCCACCTAACTGCCAGCCACCACCTTAGTCCAGCACCAATGTTTCCCAACACCATAACTAGCAGCAAACCGACATGTTTCTCGTAGCCACAAAGCATTCTTCACCCAAAAAAAAAATCAAAACCTGAACCCCATACTCCAAACCCTAACCCTGCACACCAAAACTTGAACCCCAAACTCCAAACCCTGAACCTGAAACTACCCCAACACACACAAACCTGAATCCTCAACCCCACTAACTCTGAACCCTAAACTCCGAACCTTGATCCATAAGATCTGAACCCCAACCCCCCAAACCCCCAAAAAAACCTACCCCAGTAACTCTGAACCCCGAAAAACTCTGAACATCAAGCCTCAAACCCTAAGCCCTGATAACCCTGAACCCCTAAACCCTGAATCCTGAACCCTCACCTCACGGGGGCCGTACGCGACTGCGAGCACCTTGGTGTTGCCCATCTCAAATGACGCTGATCTGGTGTGAAAATTGTAGTCGACTCAAAAAGCAGATCTTCTCACTCACCTCACGCGGCCCATACACCACTGCGAGCACCTTGGTATTGCCCATCTCAAATGACGCAGATCTGGTGTGAAATATTAAGTCGACTCAAAAAGCAGTTCTTCTCACCTCACGAGGCCCGTACACGACTGCGAGCACCTTGGTGTTGCCCATCTCAAATGACGCTGAGCTGATGGGCGCAAGTGGGAGGAGGGGGGGGAGGTGGAGAGATGGAGGGGAGCAGGGGGGAGTGTGGGGAGAACTGGCAGAGGGGAAGAAAGGTGCGGAAGCAACGAGCAAGAAGGGAAGGGAGTGGAGGGAAGAGGGCAGGTGGGAGAGGTGAGCAGGCGACGAGAGTGGGAGGACGACAAGCTTGGGCGGGCAGGCAAGCATGGGGCGGGCAGGCAAGCATGGGGCGGGCAGACAAGCAGGGGGCGGAGGAGGGGGGAAGTCGGCGGAAGCACACTGAGCGCATGTGTTCTCACCCACCCATCAGCAGAGCGCAGCACACCCAGCTCGCACTTAAGCTGCCGCAGCTGCACGCGCACAGGGGAGGGGAGGCAAGGCAAGGGAAGGGCGGGAAAGGCGAGTGGAGAAAAAAGAGAGGGGAAGGGAAGAGGAGGCATACTCAGCGCAAGAAGGGGGAAAAAGGGGGAAAAGGGGACGCACAGAGGAGATGAAGCAGACAGTACAAGGGCTGGCGTTTGAACAGGAAAGGACAAGCCGGCGGTAATGCACGCGATTCATAACTCTAGCTACCGGGTGGCGACGCGGCCGCCACCGCATCTGGCGGGTAGGAAACTGCACGAGCTCAAGGGACGGGTCGTCCCGGCTGATGGGCGGCACTACTGAACGATTCTCCATGCGAACCTTTCTGCAACACGTGGGACGGTCCAACGGTTACCTCTTTGGGTCGTCGACCGTCGAGCCGCAGCTGCTCCGGCGACACGAACTCCATCGCCGCGTGAACTGCCTCGACCAATAGGGAGGGAAGAAGGCGGTTATGAATGACTCGCGTCGGATACTCGGGACTGTTTGAAAGTTTCTCAACAATTACCATTGTAATATTGATACAAGACACTGAAAGACGTAGCGCCTGTAACTCAGTGGATAGAGTGTTCGCTTCCTAAGCGAAAAGTCCTAGGTTCGACCCCTAGCTGGCGCGGCTGACGTTTTGCCCTGTCGCAATTCCTACATTATTTGAATCCGAGACCTCCCCCCCCCCCTGGTTTTCCAAGGGTCTTTTCAACAAGCATAGAGACATGCATAAACCCTTCCTAGAAGTGTCTTACTACCTCAAACATCAAAAGACCATCGCCAAAACCCGAAACAAAGTATTGCTTCCTAAGACATCTACAGCCGCATGTCGACCAAGTAGGGCACGTCCACCCATGGTGCTCCCTCTCCAAACTCCTGCTCCCCACCCCCTCGCTCCACCCACTCCGCCTCGGACTGACCCAACGTGTATGCCGCCCGCAAAAGAATCACCCGAGCCTGTGCCTTCTGCAAAGCTACCCCTACCGCGGCTGTCAAGGACCCCACCAAGTATTCCGAGAAACCCGAGCTGTTGCCCCTTCCCACACCTTTGTTAAGAGCCACCTTTACTTGAACCTCCCCCTGCTGCCGTAACCACTGTCGAAAGCTTCCCCCCAAGCAACCCCAAGTCTCAAGAATCAACGGGAAGAAACGAACCCCCCTGTGCTGCCGCAGAAAAGGTTGCAATGAAATGAAAATCCCCTTTTCTTTATCGGGGTTGACTGCTTCGCGTACAACACCAACTTTCGGACTTGCACGTTCGGCCGACATCAACGATACCGAGGGTGCCCCTTCGTCGCCTTCGGTTTTCTTATTGCCCAAGCTCGTGTACCCGGGGTTCCCGCCTAGCTAGGGTAGTCTCTATATTATCTCGCGTCCTTCATTTTATCGTCAGTCGACATTGTCACGGCTTCATTATTCGTTTTCCTCACAACTCTGTTTTACAGCTCATAACATCTGGTATCAGAGCTACTTACCTAGTTCACCCCGCTTTGCAAGGGTAGTTTAGTGGCACGGGTGTGACTGGTACGGTGGGCTGCAAAACGGCTGGTTGCAATGTTTATTAAATTAAACTTGCCCGACTCCGATAGCTTTTGCGCTTGCACTGTAGCCGGATAGTCACGGATACCCAATTGCCTACTAGATTTAGATTGCGACACATGGATCAGGCGGCTTTCGACAGACTGATGCAGCAAGTGGCGGAGATGCAGAACAACATGAAGGCATTAACGACGGAAGTGGAACAGTTACGTGAAGAAAACTACGAGCTACGCCAGGCGCGCGGTGAAGCGCGCCAGGAGTCGCTCGTAGACGACGGCGAGACCACCAGTCAAGCAGTGAGCTGCAAACAGGATAGATCACACGCGGCGCCGAAGAAGAAGATAGGTGGACAGCGCTGGCAACAATGATTGCAGTTACTACAATCAATTTTAAACCGACGAGCCTGCCCCCATTCAACCCTACGGACAAGAACACCACAGTTAAGGGGTGGCTGTTCGGCGTGGAGGTCTTCTTTGCTACTGCAAATGCCGATGATTGTCAAACTTATATGACTTAGTCTGTTTAGGCTGTAGTAGGGTAGACCATATGGGGTACAACACATTTAGGGTTTCCTACTTGTACCCACCTGCTTGCTAGTTTATTCATTCCTCGTTCTTATATTTCACATGGTTTCAGAGCAGGTTCCCTAGTAAGAACGTTTTTTTTTTTTAAGGGCCCACAACGATCGTTTTTTTTTTTTTTTTTTTTTTTTTTTTTTTTTCCTGCCCTGCCCGAAGCGCGCCTCGCGCCTGCCTCACTTGCGCCGTCGCGCGCCCTGCCCTACTGCCGCCCGTAGCGGCCCTGCCCTCTCGACCCGTCGCGGCCTTGCCCTACCGGCCCGTCGCGGCCTTGACCTAGCCGCCCGTCGCGGCCCTGCCCTGACGCCGCCCCGTTGCGGCCCTGCCCTGCTGCCGCCCCGTCGCGGCCCTGCTCTGCCGCCGCCTCGTCGCGGCCCTGCCCTACAGCCGCCCCGTTGCGGCCCTGACCTAACCGCCCATCGCGGCCCTGCCCTGCACCCGCCCCTGGTAAGCGCCCCTGCTGCCCGTCGCGTCGCGCGCCCCTGCTGCCCGCCGCGCCGTGCGCCCCTGCAGCCCGTCCCGTCGCGCGCCCCTGCAGCCCGTCGCGTCGCGCGCCCCTGCAGCCCGTCGCGTCGCCCGTCGGCCCTGCCCGTGCCCGTCGCGTCGCTAGAGTGGGCTGCCCCAGCCCGCCGCGACGCCCGTCCGCCCTGCCTGCCTGCGCGCCGCCCCGTGCAAGCCGCCCGCGCGCAGACCCTTGCAGCCCGTGCGCCGCCCGTCGGCAGCCCGCGAGCCTCCCCTGCAGCCCGCAAACCGCCCCTGCAGCCAGCGCGCCTGCCTCTTGCAGCCAGCGCACTGCCCCTGCAGCCCGCGAGCCACCCATGCAGCCCGCGAGCCGCCTCTGCAGTGCCCAGTGCATCCTGCCAAACCCTAAAAAAAAAAAAAAAAAAAAAAGAGGAGCCCTAGGTGCTGCTGCCCTAGGAGCTACTGCTTGCTGCTGCCTGCTACTGCCCTGCTCTGGCCGCACGCCGCCCTTCTGGCCGCGCGCCGCCTTTTCCTGACAGTGCGCCGCCTCGACCTACCCTAGTGCCTGTTCGCCGCCCTGCCTTTCCACTATGACGTCTTTTCGTGGTAGCAGTGGGAGTGGTGGTGGCGGTGGTGGCAGCAGTGGGAGTGGTGGCGGCGGCCGCAGTGGCAGTCTAGGCGGAGCTGCTCGGTGGGGAGGTTCTGGCGGTGGCCAGATACAGCTCCAGCGACGTCCGCGCGAGACCCTTACGCCCCTGCAGCTGCGTGAGTGGTACGCTCAGAGTAGAGGGTCTCGGAGTACTGCTCGCTGCCCATACGTCATTCGCAAAGGTGATCGGGCTGGTCAGATTTGCGGGACGATAGGTCACACACAGTCCCGCTGCTTCGCCGGTCTGAGCGACGCATGGCGTACATAGTTTGGTGACGCGGCTGAGCTCCCCAGCTGGGTGGAGCTGCTGACGCAGAGAGTGGATATCCTTGCTCTGGACTTTGATGCTAACCTCACTGCCATTTATGCATTGCCTACTAGTGCTGAGGGTGCCTGTTCCCTGTGTGTGCCGCCCGACCCAGGTATAGAGTCTGCTGCTCTAGGTGCTGGTGAGGCTGCTGCTCTAGGTGCTAGTGAGGCTGCTGCTCTAGGTGCTAGTGAGTCTGCTGCTCCAGGTGCTGGTGAGTCGGCTCTCTCTGGTACTGCGCCTGTTGAGGCTTTGCACACCTTCACACTTGACTCAGGTGCTTCCCGCTCCTTCTTTCGCGACAGCACCACACTCACGCCGCTCAGTCGGCCAGTTGCAGTCTCCCTGGCGGACCCCTCTGGGGGCCCGGTCCTTGCGCACTCCTCCACGGTTCTGCCGTGTCCGGCAGTTCCGTCTGGCTCACTGTCAGGTCTTCACCTCCCCTCGTTCTCTACGAACTTGGTGAGTGGAGCTGACCTCCAGGATGTGTGGGTTGACTAGTTCACTCCTGGAGATCAGCGTGTGACCCACTGTACGTGCTCCCGGACTGGTCGGCACCTGGCCACGTTCACCCGAGCGCCTGGCTCGAGTCTGTACACACTGACTACTGTGTCACCTCTGGTAGTTGCGTCTGCGTCTGCGTCAGGTCAGCTAGCGGCCCCCTGCTCGTGTCGCGCTTTGTCGCACCATACCGTCCTTTGGCACCACCGTCTTGGTCACCCCTCGGTGCAGCGCCTCCGTGGCATGCACCGACGTCTCCTTGTCTCTGGACTCCCAGAGACTCTGCCTCCCCTCCCACCCTCGCTTGCCCCTCCCTGCCTTCCCTGTGTCGAGGGGCGGCAGCGCGCCGCTCCTCACTCCTCCTCGTTTCCCTCGACGACTGCTCCCCTGCAGACCCTCCACATGGATGTGTGGGGCCCAGCCCGCGTCCGTAGACAAGACCGCGAGCGGTACTTTTTGCTGGTAGTTGACGACTACACGCGTTACACCACGGTCTTCCCCTTGCGCACCAAGGGTGAGGTCCCTGATGTTTTGATCCCTTGGATCCGCGCTGCCCGTCTCCAGCTCCGCGAGCGGTTCGAGACGGACTTTCCCGTCTGCACTCTGACAGAGGTGGTGAGTTTGCCTCTGACTTTCTGCGGGACTTTTGTCGTGGGGAGGGCATTCGCCAGACGTTCACGCTCCCGGCCTCACCGCAGCAGAATGGGGTTGCTAAGCGCCGCATTGGCTTAGTCATGGAGGTCGCTCGTACCTCCATGGTCCATGCGGCTACCCCCCATTTTCTGTGGCCGTTTGCGGTCCGATACGCTGCGCATCAGCTCAACCTCTGGCCCCGTGTCTCCTTGCCGGAGACCTCGCCCACCCTGCGATGGACGGGGAAGGTTGGCGATGCGTCCGTGTTCCGGGTCTGGGGTTCTCGTGCCTTTGTCCGCGATACTACCGCGGACAAGCTCTCCGCCCGCGCTATTCCCTGCGTCTTTATTGGCTTTGTCCCTGACGCGCCTGGCTGGCAGTTTTACCACCCCACCTTGTGCCGTGTCCTGCCCTCTCAGGACGTCACATTCGACGAGTCGGTTCCCTTTTACCGTCTCTTTCCCTACCGCACTGCCCCTCTCCCCCCTCCCGCCGCTCTTCCTTGCACCAGGTCCTCCTCCGGTAGACCCCCTCCCCCCTCAGGGTCCTGCTCCCTCAGGTGTGTCTCAGGTAGACGCCTGTCGAGCCTGTCGAGCCTGGAGGCCCCACTGGTGCCTTGCCCAGCGGTCTAGCCGGCAGGAGCCTCTCTCACCATAGC